GACCACCACTGAATCGAATCGCGATTCGATGCATCGAATCGAATCGAATCGAAATTTCGATCCATTTTCGATGCATCGCACACCCCTAACTAGTACCTGTGGTGATTTTTATTAGAAATTTATTGAAGTAAATAAACAGCAAAGTTAAAAACCATCTGACCAGTGTTTTTATTTAAAAAGTACGTAGGCCTATTTGATTGGCTTTGTTTTCTGAACTAAAATATCTATTTCCTGATCTATTTTTAGTTCCTGTTTTCGAAACATAATTTGGCAAAACAATTATTTATTCATTAAACAACTTGATCGAAAAATAATTTCTAAACATTGGAGGACAATTAAAAAACTTTTGAATTCTAATAAACCTAGCTGCCGTACCTGTGTTTTACATCGGAGAGGATTTTGAAGAGAAAAAGTTTGATACACGTCACATATTTCAAATCCCACTCCAAACACGTCATGTTAATACGTTTACTTCCTTAAATTAAGAATGTCAGAATCTTCAATTAACAGGCCCGTAGCAAAAGTTAAAAATTTCACAAATCGAATCGTTTCTACCTTTTGGACCGCAAAATCAAAGAACTTTATTTACAGCATTTAAAGCTGACTTCGTTAAACATTCTGTTATCTACATTCTTCAAAAATGTAAACATTGTGAAACTTTGGAATCCCATGGGGCGTAACTCAAGGAAAACACGTTATATGTAATCGGTATATTTGTTAACCAGGTACAGGGCTACCTCTTGAATTGATATAGATAATAAATCGAAAAATAAAGAAATATAAGTTGATTGATTATTGGCTCTTACAAAAGGGTAAACAATCAAGGAACATGATTTAATTAAGTAACCACACATCACTGAGTCTATATCTTCATTCTTTCTTGTAAAAATCGCTTTGATTGTGGCTATATAAAATAGGGAAGTAATATTTCACTGTACAACGAGCTCAAAAAGCTCGAGAACCAGCAATAAGATGGAAATAACCGGCAGAACCTTTAACCATCCACTGGCTCGCTAGTGGCTACCCCAGGTCGGTCGGTAGCCGGGTAGCCCATCAATGGAACCCGTTAGGCTCGCCCCTACCTCTCGCCACAAAAGAGACAAGAATTTTGCCTTGTTCCACACGCCTTTGATTGTTTGAGGCGGGAAAACTATTTGTGTGCTACGGCCCGCGCAACACAGGATATTGTTTTCGTATTAGTTGGCCTTTTTCCAAGATGACCGTGACCGTTAACTTATTTTATGGACTCCCTTGGAGAATAATTCAAAACTACAAAGAACATTTCTAATCCCACAGTATACTAGCTATTTAAATTATAAACACTTTGGTGTTTGAAAAATATTTTTGGACGATAAATTTTGCAGCTTTTTGAAATCATCCAAGATGGCCGCTTGCCTCCAAGGACTCAACAATAGGCCTAATTGTGCGACTATAAAGGAATAACTTCCCACCTTACGCTTGCGAATTAGTACGGTACATATTTGTATCCACAGTTGCCAGGACGACTATTAAGACGACCAAAGATTACATTGACATTTAGGTATTTAATCTGTAGAATAGTAATTGTTAAGTAATCTGGAAGACAACTAATTAAAATGAAGTGCGAAAGATTGGTTAGGAGAGTGCCCAATGCCTGAAACATAATCCATTTGTTTGAGGTGCGGATGTTCAAGCTTGTAGAACAAATAAATATCACAAAGTAGAAGGGCAGGGGTGAAAGTGACTGAAGTGACGGGATACCCGGGTGGATTTTCAGTGACTGGATTCCAGTGGTATGCGGTAAAATATATAGTGACTGGCTTAGCAGCACAAATTTTACGTGACTGGCTTTCCCATGCAAATGCGGTGGTGACTGCATTAGCATAGCATTTTTTACGTAATTATATTTTAGTATTTTTAAGAAAAAAAGAGATATATACGTTCAGATATGTCTAGGCTTAAGATATTTACCAACATATATTATATATATATCATAGTCTTGAAATATATTGGGGGGTGCAACTGACTGACTTCCAGTGCATATTTTATGTGACTGGCTTCCCGGGCGCGGCCGTGTATATATATATATATATATATATATATATATACGGTAAGTCAAGAAATATGTTATTATGGACTAGGCTAACATAAATTCAGTATCAGCCAAAAAGAACTTAAAAATATATTTGTGAAGTCCTGTGGGAACGGATGTGAACCGGATGTCACTTGATAAAACTACATTTTTAAGAGATATGGAAAATTCCAGTTACAACTTGATTTCTAAAGTAAAATCAAAACAAATTTACAAAATAGAACACCAGGGGCACCACTCTACGGAGCGTCGGTAACAAAGATCCAAAAATACACAGTAAAAAGTGCCTAAAAAGGCGACCAGGTGGAATAAACAACGCACATTGCTTGGGATACTAGAGGCAGTAGGAGTTAGAAACCTGAAGATGATAGTTTGTATGTTTTGAGCGCAGCGATGGGGGTCGAGGATATACGCGGCCGCCATCTGATCACCGTGTGAGTGCGCAGTGACGGTTAAACAGGGTGTCCACCAGGCCAACCAGAAAAAATGCATGAGTAAAAAAAATTCCAGGTAGTTCAGGTCGTTCTTTCCATACAAAAATTTCTAACGTGTTTTGCGCCAACTCCCGCAATGCTGTTTTAGCGCTAACACAGCTTACTATTTTAGTTATCGGAAGGAGCATTCTCAGTTAAAGAAATAAAATTTATGATTACTGTAATATTGCCTGATTTGTATTCAATGTTGATATATTACTGATTTAATAATCCGAAAATTAAAAACTAATCCTTACGCCTGCAATTTATCAATAACTTCTTAAAAATAGTGATATGTCGATACCAAAATTTATCGAATCTGCGTACAGACACCTGAAAAATAGGTTCCTAATACTGATCATTTCAATTTTACCAAATTTTCTGTAAGGATTACTACACCAACTCTTTATGTACCAGTCTTTATGTACTTTCATATGGTATGTAATTTTGGAGTTATGAGTTGTTTTTCAAGTGGCCTACAGAAATAATTAAATGCAGAAATCACAAAAATTTCACGTAGCCAATTTAAGTTTTAAACCCTTCTAAACACAATAAATAAATACAACGTTAAAGGTAAATGAAGATTCAGTAACAGAAACATCACCACTGTCTTCCGTGGTCGTGACAAAATCCTGATATTGTTCAGCGTTAACGGAAACATTATAATCGTCTTCCGCGATCACAGTAAAGTTATCATCATCTTTCGCGATCACAGTAAAGTTATCATCATCTTCCTCTATCGTAGCTTAATTCAAATAATTTCCAGCGGTCAAGCAATCATCCTCAAGCAATATTTTTTGGACATCATCATCGTTTCCGTGACCACGGGAAATGTCATCGTCCGCATGCGCGATTGCGGCAAAATCACTAATATATCCCGCGGCCGTTTGGACATCATTCTCATCTCATGCGGTCACGGAAACATCATCAACATCTCCCACGGTCACAGAAATGTCATCGTCGTCTTCCCCAGTCACAAACATCATCGTCATCTCCCGCTGTCCCGGAAACATCATCTTTATGCGCGATCGCAGCAAATTGAAAATTCCCGGTAAAATACAAAATTCACGCATAATTTCCCTGGTCGGTGGACACCCTGTTATAGGACTATCACCACCCCACAAGTTTATAAATTTTTAATTCGAGGCCTTTGTCATCGCTCTGTATCTCCTAGTTCATGAAAGATATAATTATGAGAAGTAAAGTTGTGTGATTTTGTGACATATTGACGTTTTCTTATTCATAAATTAAAGCTCCATAAATTCTTAAGGTGGAGTTAGTTATTCACCCCTCCCGAAGCCAATCCAACAACACACTAAAACTACTACCTAGGCCAACATAGACTTAATTTACTCACATCTAGGCTACAAAAACTACGAAGTGCAGACCTTCAAGTATGACACATTCTAGAAGAACTTAGGAGTGCGGACCTTCATCAACGCAGTAAGTCAAAATCCTAACTAAGAAAATCAATAAGATAACTACTGGGACCATAGCACAGTTTGAGCCTGAGGTGGTGCTTTACTATGGATACTTAGTAGTAGGAGATAAAGATTCTAAATTTAGGATGTAGCCTATTTGTATCCTCAGTTGGCATCACTGGCAAAGAGAACTGCAAACGCCTTAAAAATGGAAATCTTCGGGTTCTTAGCTCAAATCACAAGTGTGTGAGATGCAAAGTCAAATAGGAGCGAGTATTCACGAGCATCTCACTCCATTCTACACTCATATTTGGATTATACAGTAATACACAGCTGGGTGGCGTCCCCATCTAAATTGATGTCAATGATAATATGAGGGTGAAATGTAGGCCTACTAATTTTGAAAACAGCAGAATGTAAAGGGGAGCTTCATATTAAATTGAGGTGAGTTTTGTCATATGGTGAAAATGAAAAGTAAACAGTCTATTGTAGTTCTGCTTGCTCAAAAAAAAAGTTGATAATTATAGTAATTTCATATCATTGTGTACGATTGTAAATCACTATTTACAGGATGGATATATATATATATATATGGATATATGGACATATTTATTTGCCACTTATCTTTAAAGGAGACCTGTAGTCCACCTTTTGGCAGAAATAAATAGGTTACCTGTTATTGTTTTACATAGAATTATTCCTTAAAAAATATATATATATATATATATAAAGATTTTTTTCAAGAGATCCAGATTTTTCAAGAGACTAAAGATTATAGATACTGTGTGACGTGACAATTATAACATTTGCGTCACAAAAATTACCCCCCTATATTATGTATGGTATGAAAAACTTACACTTAATTGGTACTAAACACTACTTTCAGTTAACCATCTAACAATAACAGCAACAAATACAAATTAGAATTATAGTTGGCGGATTAAATTAAACCTTACAGACTATAATTACGTACAATGTGAATGATGAGTAAGATATAAGTAGGTAGATTATTGATTAACACAAATAAGCTTTTACCTTGTAAGCGTATTTCCTATGAAGTTTTCCTTGGTTTTTGTAGGATTCCATTAAGTCTGTCATAAACTTTTCAGTAACTTTACCATCTTCAAGTGCAGGTCCATTGTACTCATCCTCAATAGCTAAAAATCAATTTAAAAGCATCGAATGCTATATTAACATTATGTACAGAACCACACTTCAAGTTAACAACTAAAAATAATAGTCTGTTGGTATTTACTAGTCCACTTGAATTATATTGGGAAAAAACTTAAGCGAGAGAGACTCACATACTAGTTAGTTGCCCAACAGCACTTCAATAGAGCAACGGGTAAACTAGGCCTATTTGACAAAGTAAAACAAGTGTCTATGCAGTGAAATTGCTCTTATAATGTTAAGCAATCAAAATATGTCTACAGATTTTGTTACAAATATGTACATACATATATAAGGAAACTTCTGAAGGAGGCCTTTGTTCACTGAACTCCGCATTATGACTGTGTAGTGAATGTGTGTAGTATACATTAAGGATATGGGAGGGGATCTTGTTTGGAACAAAGATGTCCACTTATATTTATTTAGAAATAGAAACAATGTACAAATTATGGGGATGGACAAGATTGGATTTTTAGTTCGAGATTTTTAATTTTTCATAAAATTTTGAGACGAGATCGAGACGGGATTTCCCTTCTCATACACAACCGGAAATGCACGTTCGACATTATTACCTGATTTTGTAACATTGTTAGATGACCGTTTATATGCAAAAATAATAATAATAGGAAGAATATTTAAAATCTTTTATTAAAAAACCAGCATAAAAAATGTATATTTATTACGCCTAAGTTATTAAAAATGCTTACTATTAGGAAACATGGTGATATCAGTTAGGATAGAGTTAAACTTATCCTAAAATAAAAATAAATCATAAAATAAAAGCAATATTAATTTGTATAGAACAGTAGTTACTTGTTATGGCTTTGTTTATAGTTTAGTAAAACATGCCAATGTTTTACTAAACTATTACTAAACTTTTATTTATTATTTACTATTTATTATATACTAGCAGAGTACCCGTCCTTCGTACGGGGTTGGCATAAAAGTATAAAATGCTTATTGCAGTTACGGGAGAGGACACGGTTTAAGGAAATTTGGTCTTTAAATTTATACGGTATCCTATAGTGTAGCACACATCTACCATAGCCCTAATTTTCTACAACTGCACCTAAACCATGGAAAAAGTAAAGTTTTCATTGTGTACAACAACTTTTTGTTGCTAGTTGGTTCAAATTAGCTGTTGTAATAAATGCAAAATAATAGTGCTGCACCCTGTTGGTAAGCCTTACTTTTAATGCTATTTAATATCATAGAACCAACTTGTACAGTTGAAACGGCTGACAAAATTCTTTTATTCCCTTAATATGAATACTCATAAGGCTAACATGAGAAAATCCAGAGCCAGAGCCACTGGGGCGGATCCTGAAAGTGTTTTTGAGTTAAGAATATGTATATTAATCGGGAATGTCAGCTATCATCACACCAAATTTCAACCTTATCGGTTTAGTATTTACTTAAGTATGTATTTGTCACATGCAAAAGAGACAATGTTGGTTCTTTGAAAATGCCAAATGGCATCACTCCTACCATTTAATTCAGAAACAAAATATAACTGTATAACATAACTCGATAATAGTACGTTTTGGTTAACTAATACCGTTCATACTTATTTAAGCTACCTACGATACAAAACCAATGATAGATTTTAAGGTACAGTAAAAGAACGTGTTTAATGGTTTGCACTGTAAACAAAAAAAACTATCACAACAGTTACAAACCGAAAAATAGAAAGAATAGGAAAATAAATAAATAGGATAAATAGGATAGATAAATATGGAAAATAGGGTAATTTTCTACAACAATATTTTAGTGAAATTATATAATCAGGAAAATGGAAATTCACTCAGTCTATAGACTTGCTGTGGCAGGGGGATTATATTGCTGTTTACACAGAAATAAATCAAAAAAATAAACCTCATAAAACTCAGGATAATGGCCTGGCAATGATTATAGGATCTTAATTATTTCTTATATCCATGAATGATTTATTTTACAACGAATTGTTCCCTGTTAAATATTATTACAGCATTTCACAAATATTAGTACAAACTCAGTATAATAGATCAACATAAACAAATGAAGTAACTGAAAGAATCATACACTAATGAAATTACATTAACATATGGTTTGACAGCTCCATTTAAGTGAGGTTAAATAATGTTTACATTCAGGCTAGTGACATCATTATTTTGAATTTATAATCCTTACCCTCTCTGTTCTAATATTCGTGCAGTAATTTAATATGTTTGAACCAGCTGTGTGGTATTGTGAAATCAAAATTCATTTGACAGTTAGTTCTGCTTGTTTACATTTTTAAACTTTGTAGGTTTGTTCTTTGTTACCATGGATACCATCGATCAATATTTACTTTTAAATCTCTCACCTCAAATTTTTGAATGCCCACGGGGCAGAGCCCTAGGACAATATCGAAGCGGGAATAGTTCTATATGTATCCTCGGAACTGTAGCTTCATTTGTGTGCAATTTGAGCCCACTAGGTTCAGTAGTTTTTGAGATTAGCTCATACAAACACACAGACACCACCTCTTCTTTATAATAGTATAGATTATTTATTTACTATTTTATTTTTTATTTACTAAACTAAACTTTTACTAAACATGTGACACTTCAAATGATAAAATAATTAAGGGGATTTCACCACTGAAAATAGAGAAAAATCATAAAACTTTCAAAAAAAGTCTTTTTGCCTGATCATGTCATTTGGAACTATTAACATTTGTTTTATTTATTTACCTACATTTTATTTCTAACATGTGTTCAAATTATTATTTTGTTTACTTGTTGAATTGTTTGTTTACTTACAAATTGTGATTTAATAAAAACTTTATATTTTTTTATAGAAAATGTGAACTTTTATTAGGAAAATTAGTGGAATCATCAATGACGACGAGTAAAATGGTAAGTAGAAAAGAATTTGACCTATGTCTAAAGAAAAGGAAACTACTAGAACTACGCTTGAACAAACTCAAGGATGATTTACGTACATGTGAACATTCTCAAGATACATGCACTTACTACTCAGATAAACATAATCCAGATAGCAATATGGACTGAAATTGAAGTTACACAGTCAAATATTGAACTTCACACAAATTCAGTAGAAAGTGAATTAGAAATTCGATGGCAGTTAGAAGAAATGTATAGAGGGATACGGACATTCCTTGAAGCAGAAAAGAAAAAGTACATTACACATGCAGCAATGTCTGCTTCTGCAACATCTCAAAATGTATCTAATATTCCTTTCCAGCCGTGTACACCAGAGGAAAGTTTTCAAAACTTCACTTGACGCTTTGAAAACTACAAAATATTACGGGGAAACTTAAGTCCAAAAGTCAAAGTGGATTTATTTTTAAAGGCAATCACCCCACAAATACATGAACAGCTATAAGATCTTTGCATTCCAGATGACCCACATAACAAGCCATATGAGGAATTGATTCACATCATGTTAATGGCTCAACTAGAACCAAAACCCAGTATTTGGGCACGTCAGCACAAATTTACGACACGTACCCAATTATGTAATGAATCTGTACAAGCTTACGCTAATGCTCTTAGAAAGCTCAGCGTAGAATGTCAGTTTACTTGTACAAGTTGTAATGAATCCGTGTCTGAAATTCTACTTCGAATGCAGTTTGTCAGGAGACTAAAAGACTCTGATATACGTCTTCAACTTCTTCAAGATAAACTATTGCAACCGTTTAAAGAAGTAGTCGAAAAGGCTGCTACATTGGAACTAGCGAAAAGTGGGAGCAGAATACTAAAGACAAATGAAAATCAAGAGGAAGTACACCAAGTATCAAGAACAAACAACCAGATAGTAAGTCAAGTAAACAACTATCTGAGTATCAATCTCGTTTGGAGAAACTAAGGAACAAATGCTATAGTTGTGGTGATGATCCACATAGAGCACATCAATGTAAGTTCAAAAATGCAGAATGCAACTCTTGTAAACGTTTTGGTCACTTAGCAAGAGTATGTCTAAGAAAACCAAACAAAGAAGTAAAACAATCAGATGAAACCGCAGAAAATACAAGTGATGACACTCATGAAATTTAGGTACCAACTTCATTCAAAATCAAATGACAAGTTTATGCTCGAGGTAAAAGTGGAAGGACGACTCATGACAATGGAATTAGATACAGAGCGGCTCTTAGCATTGTGTCACTCAAATGTTTCAACTCAAGACATACACTGGGGAAATAATCAATCCAAGAGGAGTTGTATTTGTAAGTGTTCAGTATAAAGATCAAAGTTTTGTTGGAAAACTGTACATTGTTAACAAGTGTGTAGACTCTAAATTCGGAAGAGAATGGATAAGAGGGATTCAACTTGATGCAGCTGACATACATTCATTAAATTTGAGTGAAGAAAACGAAAACATTCAAGAACTAGATGATTTTATGATTCGATACGAAGACATTTTCAAAGAAGGCATTGGGAAAATAAAATAACAAACGAAAAGTCATAGTCATAGTCATAGTCAAGAATCTTTATTCATAGTATACATAGTTGTACATGAATAGTGTCAAATAAGTTAAAACTAATGCTTAAAACTATGATATCGCCATTTTCAATTCGTCTAAAGAGTACAAGGACAGGTCCATTAAATATTCCTTGAGACGTTTTTTAAAAATGTTGGGTTTTTGTTCTGTTTTTAATTTTTAAAGGAATAAATTTTTAAAATTCATGTCCTGCATTGACAGTCTTTTTTTTGAAGAGCTCTAATTTGTGTTTTCCAATTACAAAATTATTTTTGTTACGTGTATTGTAGTTATGATTATTTTCTTTAATTGGTGGAATAAAATATTTGTTTTTGACAAACATAATACATTCAAGAACATACAAACCATAAACAGTGAGGATCCTTAAACGTTTAAAGTGTTCTTTTGCAGAATCATCTTTGTTCATTTTTAACATAGCTCTGATTGATTGCTTCTGTATTGTCAAAATTTGGTCTAGATTCGAATTTGAGGTGGCTCCATATACACATATGCCATAAGATA